ACCAATGTACAGTCGATAGGAGCCATGATAATTAGTTAGTAATTAGTAGATAATTAGTCGTTCGTTTATCACATGACAGAATAACTCAAACCCAAGGACTCGACAGATGAATGGTTCAATTCTTTTTCTGGCTCTAAACGCATATGATTGGCCCGTAAGGAAATAATGACTCAAACCCGATAGAGGACTCGAGAGATAAACGGTTCAATTCTCTTTCCGGCTCTAAACGCATATGATTGGCCCGTGAGGAACGAATGACCCAGAGTCCCAGACCTGATAGAGGACTTGAGAGATGAACGGTTCCATTCTTTTTTCCGGCTCTAAACGCGTATGATTGGCCCTTGATGAACGAATGACTCAGACCCGATAGAAGGCTTGAAAGGTGAATAGATCAATTCTTTTTTCCGGCTCTAAACGCATATGATTGGCTTCTGCCTTCCCACGATGAACGACTCAAAAGACTTGAAATCAGTGATACCACCTGCACAAATGTGTGCACGCACGGATGAACGAATCACTCCCTGAGAGGACTCGTAGTTCCCGAGTCATATTGAAGATTCGTTCAAAATGAACGAATCGTTCATAAACGACCCATCACTACTTTCTATGTAGGGCTGGGCAATATGGCAAAAATGCAATCTCGATAATTATTTTCCATATTGAACGATAATGATATATATTTTGATATAAGTTGTTGATGCTTCTGGTATCAATGAGTTCCCCAACAATGACTAAAGCCACAAAAATGAGAAGGTTCATTAAATGGTATTATATATTTTTGGCCGAAAATTTGTTCGGTGGTCGAAAATTTGGTCAAATACCAACACACTTTTAGATTGCCAATGTTGCACATTTCTGCACATTTCTAGATCAATATAGAGTAAAAAGTCCAAAGCTTATCATGTTTATTAGCATAAAGTTCATCACAATACAACATAATATAGTTTATCGGCCCAGCCCTATTCCTATGTATACAAAATCAATTTGATGTGGATAACAAAACTATCTTAACCTAAATTGAATGAATAAAGTTACAAAGAACTCTTTTCATGATCACCAAACACATTTAAAACTTTACTTTTCAATTTCAAAGTTCAAAGTTATGGGTTGTTGTGTCTTCACATTTGATGTTAACCTAACATCCTGAATAAAACCTCCAACCAATGCGCTATAATTAAACATACAGTAGTTTCACTTACTATCTGTCCCAGGAGTCTGTGCATTGGAGGTGGTTCTGTTCTGTAAAAAATAAAAAACAGTGCAGTATTTTAAGTCACTGGGCTAAACATTTCACTTCTCTTTTCTGAGAATAAAATACACAAACCTTCCATAAAGGAGATATCTGTTTAAACAAATAAACATAAAACTCTTTTTATGGTCATTATGTAAATCAGCTCAAAACCATGCAAGCGCAGAGCCACTTGATAAATGATGCATATTTGAACATGTAAATACATTTTACATTTACATTTCTCATTTTAGGGTTAAATGCTCATTCAGCCATGAAGATTTTTAGTTTTAAAAATCAATCTAACTTTAAAATAATTTCAGAACACTTTCAGAACGATTACGTATAGCGGATGAACAAATAAAAGACTGGCATTAAACAATTTAAACATTTGAAGTTGCAGATGACGAAACTGCAGCATGTGCTTATCCTCCTTTTTTCACATACAGTAGAAGCGGATGCAGCATTTTGAAAATGTAATGCATTTCTTTCCGTTGGCATTTGATTCTAGCTACGAAACAGCTTGTTGTTTTTTCTGCTTGATGGTGCAAAGTGGTATTTTTATTCCTCTTTCGCTCTTTAGATCATGATAGCACATCAAATCACTTGTTTGAAAGTTTTTAAAATTGGCACACTGATAAAAAAAAGAACAGTCTAAACCACAGCACAGCACTTGGTGGCGGAATTTTTCTTTCAAAAAGAGCATTTTTTTGCCTCCTACGTTAAATTCAAACTTTTTACTTTAACGGCAAAGAAATTAACACATTCTTTGCCATAAACTGAACTCTTCACCTATGTTTATGCTAACATATGGGAACTGTAAGACTAACAGTAGCAACAAATTTTTTTTTTTTTTATGTAAAAAAAAAAAACTTTTCTGCTATTTTGAAGTTTTTCAACTCCTTGCTAGTTTGTCGAATTTTCACAGTAATAAATGATTTTTAACCACTAATAAATTTCTAGTAAAAGGTTGATGTGACTGTTTTTAATTTCATGTAGTTCCTTTAACAGTATCGATAATGTAACTAAATCAAAATATAAATAAACCTAAGCATTTATTTAGTTGTTCAAAAATAAAATGACATGAAAGATCGCTAATTAAGTTCTAGTGAAAGGTTGATGTGACTGTTTTCAATTTCATGTTGTTCTTTTAACAGTATCCATAATGCAATTGAATCAAAATTTAGTCCTTTAAATAGATTCAAGCGTTCATTTAGTTGTTCAAGCATACAATGAGATGAAAGAATACTAATAAAGTTCTAGTGAAAGGTTCATGTGACTGTTTTCAATTCTATGCGGTTCCTTTAACAGTATCGATAATGTAATCGAATCAAAATAGAGACCTTTAAATAGATTGAAGCGTTCATTTTGTTGTTAACGCATAAAACAAAATAAAAGACCAGTTTAACAGTGTCAAGAGCAGCAGGCAAATGCAGAAAATCCATTGAAAATACTGTTATAATAATTTTATACAATTGAAGACATGACACAGAACAATGGAATGGAATGCAGTGCTTCTTGTCCGGTGTGAGACCCACTTCTCACACCGGACAGCTTTTAGATAGTCCCAAATGTTCTTAGAATAACGCACATATACATCTAATATTTTGCCTAATCACCTTTTTAAATACAAATTTAATAATCTAAACCTGAACTTATGTTGACAAACTACATATCATATGCATATTTCATGTATCATTTTCAAGTCTGAACTTAAAAAGCTGGGTAACAATTATGGCAGGGGTGCCCAATACATCGGTCTCGATCTGCTGCTCGAATGCAAAGGAAGCGTGGGTAGATCGCATTGCAACTTCATATCATATATCTATCAGGCAGTAAACATTATTACATTTAAACAAATTAAATGTAGCAAGTTCATAATTGTCCACAGTTCACCAGAAGTGCCTAAACTGGCTCATTCAAAATTAAAAGTCCCCGTGCATATAGCCCATTGGAACAGTTCATCAAAAAAAATCAATTGCTTTTAAATAGTCCCAACTGTTCTTAGAATAACGCACATATGCAACTAATATTTTGCCTAATCACCTTTTTAAATACAAATTTAATAATCTAAACCTGAACTTATGTTGACAAACTACAAATCATATGCATATTTCATGTATCATTTTCAAGTCTTAACTTAAAAAGTGGGGTAACAATTATGGCAGGGATGCCCAATACATCGACCTAAAACTACTGGTTGAATGCAAAGGAAGCGTGGGTAGATTGCATTTCAATTAAAAAAATAAACATCAGCCTATCATCCATCCTCACTGAAATTTGTCGCTTGATTGACATACAGGGCAGCCATTCTGATATCTGACCTTTTCCTTTTAAAACCACGCCAACTTCGCTAAGGCCAAATATTGTTCCACCATGATTTATGATCATTTTGTAGTGAGCTTGAGGCTGGCTATCAGCAGCTACAGTACTGTCCTGCTTCCATTCAGTGCAAGTCATCACAGTAAGGTAATGACGAAAATATGAGCTGTAGGCTATTGCACAATATGGGTTCATATTTATGCAAGGTACATTAATATATATTGTACAAATACAGAACTCTCTGTAATAAATAAATAAATGTTTTGCATTTTTATATTAGGGATATCTTAGATCAAACTTGGTGTGTTATGATAATTATGACCTGAAGTTGCGGCACAATGCAGAAGTCAGAAAATATGAAAATTAACATTTGAATGGTTTGGCCACAACTCTCAAACCCTGCCTTAAATCATGTTTGCCGTTTTGAACATCGTTTATTTCTTTACATTGATTCAAAATGCTACATTCAATGGACGGACTGATTTATCATTGTATAAATTGGTAACTTCTGTTTGGCACTATGCCCTTGTGGTCAATAATTATACATATGTGCAGCTTGTTGTCAAAAATAATTATTAAATTACATTTTAAGATGTATTAAATGGTTAAATTTGCACATTGTGTGAGATTGGCCTTGATTAACTCCTTGGATCATGATGAAAACATCAAAACCAGTTTTGCCACAATATCTCTAATAATATGATACAATAATTAACATAATAATAATAATAATAATAATAATAATAATAATAATAATAATATTAATAATATTCTAATTATTTGGCATGGTGCCAGAAAAGACCTAAATATGTATTTCTGAAACTTTTACATATAATGGAACGTGTGTGTGTGTGTGTGTGTGTGTGTGTGTTATTATGAGGCCTTGTCAACACACCACATCAATTTTGTGAACATATTGCTCAAAAGATAAACCATATTAGTAATGAATGTATGATTTTCAATTGTTTAACTAAATTCATCTAAGAATGTCTTTAATTACTGGTTCTTGTTCCTCCTGTCATGTTTTCTCCTCATTTAGTCTCGAATCATTGCTTTTTCCCCATCTATGTGTGTATTTATTGGTATAGATATCAATCTAGGTGTGAGCAGGCTTTTAATCAGGTAAAAAAGGGTTCAAATGATATCGTACAGCTCTATTTTAGATACACATTCAAAACTCATTTTCTAAGAAAGTGGAAGTACAGTTTTCAAAGTCATAAAATTTGCTGAAACAAGCGATACTGCTAATCTAAACTCAGCACTTTTGCCGCAGAGCTCATGATCAGAGTTAATTCGGAGACATGAATCCCCAAAATGCTTCTACTTACAGCTTTGGCCCCTGTTGTGGGGTCTTTGGTGTAATGTGCCACGTTGCGGTTGTCATCGCTGTTCACTGATTTACCAATAGGATCTTGCTCCGGTTTGGTCCCCACACAGCCCATGTTGAGGCCTGAAGAGTAAACCACAAAGAACAACAGTCAGGTTCCTGTACATAAAAAAAGCCTAAATAAAACAACAACATGCAAAACAAGGGCTGTTCTGAGTTGCCATTAAAACAACAAATTACATTGGAAAAATGAATGGAACATGCAATACGAGACACAATTTATTTAAAACATGCTAATTTTTATGGCTTAGAAGATAGTCTTGAATTAATACTTCAGTTAATACCTCGAATACTACCATTGTATACCCTTACGAAAAAAATACTTCAAGTTCATTTTATTAGGTGTACTAAAGTAATGTAGAAGTAGATTTTAAATATAATTTAAGTAGCATGCTATATGTATTCAAGTATAGCTTAAAGTGTTGCTGACCAATAGGAACCCTATGAAAACATTTTTGAAGAAAAGTGGAGGGGGGGGGGGGGTGCTCAGGGAAGGGCCAGAGTAGTGTTGCGGATGAAAGTGAAGTGGATGTTGTGGATGATAGTGAAGAGAGGGGGGTTTGGATAGGGGTCGCGCTATTGATTTTGGGTGGGTGGTATCGCGGATGAAACTGTTGAAACTAATAGTAACCTTTTTGTTTATGTTTTTTTTATATATATATAGAAATTTTATATAATATTACATTTACTTTTTTAAATATTTCCCAAATGATGTTTAACAGAGAAATTCAATTTTCACAGTATGTCTGATAATATTTTTTCTTCTGGAGAAAGTCTTATTTGTTTTATTTCGGCTAGAAGAAAAGCAGTTTTTAATTTTTTATTAACCATTTTAAGGATGGAATTATTAGCCCCTTTAAGATAATTTTTTTCTCGATAGTCTACAGAACAAACCATCATTATACAATAACTTGCCTAATTACCCTAACCTGCCTAGTTAACCTAATTAACCTACAGTCGTTAAGCCTTTAAATGTCACTTTAGGCTGTATAGAAGTGTCTTAAAAATATCTAGTCAAATATTATTTACTGTCATCTTGGCAAAGATAAAATAAATCAGTTATTAGAGATGAGTTATTAAAACTATTATGTTTAGAAATGTGTTGAAAAAATCTGCTCTCTGTTAAACAGAAATTGGGGGGAAAAATAAACAGGGGGCTAATAATTCAGGAGGGCTAATAATTCCGACTTCAACTGTATATGTACAGTTAGTTAGTATTATAATTAGATTACTGCAACAGTATGTGACTTACGTGCAGGTTTAAAATGGCTCTTACACTCAGTGTTGTGTTCATATTTATGAGTATGATTATTTATGTAGCTCTGTGGTCCTGCGAGATACAACATTTCGTTCCACTTTATGTACACACACAAAGCAGAATGACAATAAAGCTCAACTTCACTTGAACTTGACCTGACATATAAACACACACACACACACACACCCCACCAACAACACCTGGCAATGCTGGGACTTGAACTGGCAACCACAGTTTTCTAGTGTTTTAAGGCACAAATATGGACAAAGTGTACAATTTAGAGTAGCCAATTTGGAATAAGCTGAAGTATTAGCTGTATATTTATGGTGTATGTTAGGCATGGGCTGGTATATGATTCTGACGGTATGATTAAAAACTCATGGTTTCATAGTATTGTGATTACTGCTCTAAATGATACTCTTTAAGTGTCTGGGTAAAAAAACAAAAACTTTTTCCCCCTTTGAACACAATATATTTTAGTTTGACAAACATTAAAAATATTTTGGAGCAGTAAACATCTCAGGCTAAACAATTCAACCAAATCATTGACTTCTGCTGTCTTCATTAGTTTCAAAAACACAGACTTCTTTACTTGAAAAGGCGTCTTTGGATAAATTTTCTCCTGGAGATACTTTTGTCCTAAAAAACAAAACAAAAAAAAAGCATGTAAAAAAAACAAAAAACTTAAAGGTGCAGTAGGTGATCTTCCACAATGCTAACAGCTTAGCATAAATCTCTGAATCACAGTCCCTCCCCTGCCGTCTAGAGCCACGCCTCCTGAAACACGAGCACCGCAAAAGAATCCTCTCTCATGTGTTAAAAGCGACTAGTGCTTGTCCGGCAGGCGTGCAAGCCAATCTGACATGCTATTTCAGAGCGAATATTTAGAATTGCATGAGAAACAATATAGGGAGAGACTAGGCGGAATAGCGCTATTTACTTGTGTTTTGTTGTTAAACTAATTAAGATCTACATCATCGATGCTGTAAAAAGGTCCCTTATGAAACTGAAAATAGTCTTATCAATCTTTCATCGAAAGATTTTAGTAGCTGAACAACACTTCTGTGAAGATATAACCCATTCGTAGCAACAACATCTAACATTACATCAGCTTTGCGTGAAGCTAAAAAAGTTTAAAAGCAAAACATTACCCGTCAAAGAGAAATCCTTCAGACATTGTGTCATACTTTCTTCAGCATGCAAAGGTAACTCCAATATTGTTTCAGGTTCTTAAAAAGTTTTGATTCAGCATGTTTTTACCGATCACGCATGCGCGTGCTCTCTCTCGTGAATGCGCGGCAGTCTGCGAAGCTGTGTACAAATGGCTGTGTAGTTGTTCAAATCTGCATTTGCTGACAGACAGATTGGGCTACTTATTGGAATTCTGAGAGATGTCGGTCTCACTCTATTTTATTGGATGAAATTTTTTTTTGTTTTATGCCTTACCCAAAATATAAAATACATATAAATACATTTAGATCATTTACTGTAATCATTACTGTTAGACTGTGAAGAGACTTTCAACCAGCACAACAAAAAATGCTTCTGAAGACAATCACCTACTGCACCTTTAAATATACTGTACATTTTTGCTGTTTTAAAACCTTGACTTTTCCAAACCATGTTAAACCTTGAAACCAGTTTTTGTCCCATGCCTAGTAAGTAATTCCTCTGATTTTATTATTTTTTTAGTTTGAAAGCAGTATCCTAACAGCACACTTTATTAAACCTCTTGTCCGTAAAGGAAGTACATTTTAGAGAAGTACCTCAAAAATAGACTGAAAGTATATTTTCTTACTTTTAGTTTAAACGAAAATACTGACCACACACTTTTCGATTTCTTTTTCATAAGAGATATGTTTCTCAAAAATTCAGTTGAGTGCCACTGACTGCTTCAATGTACCAAAAATGAAAGTCCTGTAATCATTTACCCAATCACATCACCCTTGACTTGTTTTAAACCTTTATGAGTTTGTTTTTTCTGTTTAGGCATGGGACGATAACCATTTTCTAGGTTTACCACGGTTTGGAAAAGTCAAGGTTTTAAAACCGCCACAATGTTCTGCATTCCTAAGGTATGAGGTATAAGGTATTTTTATTTTAGTTTTTCAGGACAACAGTGTCTCCAACAGAAAAGATATCCTAATCTGTTGTTTTCAAGAGTTCACACTTAGCTGATGATTCATAAAAAGCTTGTTTGGCATGCTGTCCCGGTAGGGAGCCCCGAGCTCAAGGGATCCTCGAGCCCGGGGCTTCCTCCCGTTGGCAGAGCGAGGGGGGAGCCTGAGCTCGGTGGATCTCAGAACTCCCCGGCTGCGGTAGCTAAGGGAACAAAAGGGGTTAGACAAATGCTCGATTGTTATGCATGTTGAATGTCTTTGGATGGTGGGAGGAAACCGGAGAACCCGGGGAAAATCCACGCGGACACATGGAGAACATACAAACTCCTCACAGAAACGCCCACCGGCCTGGAGGGACCAGGGCCAGCAGTGTTCTTGCTGTGGGGCTCACAGTGCTAACCACTGGGCCACCCAATCAGAGGTAAAGGAGGATATAAGGGTAGGAGGGGGTGGGGGGGAGGGAGTTCCTCCAAATGAAGATAAAATAGACTGAAAACTGGTTATTTATAGTAGCTTAGGGCTTATATGATTGGAAGATAGTGATTAGCAAATACGGGACCGGCCGTGATAAATCATATGCACGTGATCCTCTCGAAATTAGTTTATGGATAAACTTGGCTTAAATGATAAAGAAATCTGTGTTTTTGGAACAAATGAAGACAGCAGAAGTCAATGATTGATTTGAATTATTCAGCCTGACATCCCAGCAGTCACATAACTTCATAAAATGTTAATATTAGGTTAGATTTAGGTTGTGATGTCAGGTGACCAAAATTCAATGTCTAGCCAGCGTCTAAGGACAACGTTATTTTGACGTCCAATAAATTACATTGATATTTGGTTGATTTTAGGTTATGTTAAAAAGTGACCAAAATCCAACCTCTGATAGATGTCATAGTGGTAACGTCCACACAACGTCAAGGTGTAGCATGATTAGATGTTAATATTTGGTTGATTTTAGGTTGATTTTAGGTTGGACGTTAGACATTGACGTCGGCCTGACATTGGGTTCTGACGTCAACCTGATTTTCATTTCCAAACAAAATCCAACAACCCAGGCTCATTCTGGAAACGTAGTCCCGCGGACGTTTCTGGAGACCGCGGAATACGTCCCGGGAGGTACGTATAGCTGCAGTTTTTGTTTTTGTGAATCCGCAAGAGGCTGCTGTTGTGCGCTTTTTCGTATCTCAAACGCCTCTCGCGAGTGCAGTTCGCGTCCGCGCTGTTCTTGCGTGAAACCCACCAGAGGCTGCTGTCCGACTGACCGGACTGCGCGACCGTACCGGCCAATCGGCTGACCCGCCCTCCTCCTTCCCTAAACCCAACCAATTTTACCGAATGACCCGCCTGCCCGTTTACTTCTCTAAACCTGAGCAAGTTTACAAAAGCCGTCCAAAAAAAACCCCAAAAACCTTGATTTTCTCTTTTTCTACCGCGTTTTCGGATTTCACCACGTTGTCACCCTGTTATGAAACTCGTTCACTTAATTTTTAGGATTCTGTTTTTGTCTTACCTGATTGCTGGAACCGCTCTTCCCCGGACTCGAAAACGATCACCGTGGTCAACTCCTCTCTGCATCTCAAGCCTGCCGACGTACACGGTGAGCTGAGTGGACAAACGGGTTGCAGCGGGAAAGCCCTTCACAAGGAGGTAAGCGGTCGGCCGGTCGGCCGGCCGGCAAGCGC